AGGCGGAGGAGAAGAGAGGGAGCAGCGGTAGAAGAAAGGGTAAAAAGATACAGTAAAAAAAGGGAATCTAAAGGGCAACTAAGAAACTGTACGGTTTTTTGTCTTCTTTTTTTTTACAAAATTTTATTTAGAGTCCAGTTGATACAGTTTTGGTTCCAAGGAAGACGGTGAAAAAAAAAGGAACAAAGCAGAAAGAATATTAATGCAGGTAGACGTCCGTCTGTAATAAACGGTAGTCTTATAAAGAACAGGGGAAATTGTTTTTTACCCAAAAGTTTATTCTCATCATTTGTTTTCTTCCTCAGTCATTATTTTCGACAGTTAAATTAAATGAAAGTAGTTGAGACTTAACTGTTCAATAGTAACGAAAAAGATTGTTTTTTTCCTTACTCTTTTATCATAAATTACTGTAACTGAAAAAGAAAAAAAAAGCAAATTATTGAGCTAAAATTTAGTTTAGTGAAATATATAATTCATTGGTAATTATTTTAATTATTTACTTCATTTTTTTGTCTTATTTGAGACTACTTCAAACAGCAGTAACAGCTCAACAGTTATAATAAATTGTACAAAATGACAGGACGGCAGCAGTTTTTCGCTGGAAAAAAGTTGTTTTTCTTATCAAAGAAACTGTTTGCGGTCTTAAAATGATTTTTTCTTAGTACAGTCAAGTTCTTTTTTTTGGGAGAGGGAATGTTTAAGCTGAAAGAAAAAACGAGTCTATTAAACAGCAACAAAGAATAGTGATGACCATTTTTTTTCCAAACGTAGCGTGATATTTCACTGATTGCATTGCTATCACATCCGATATTCGCACAAATTTATATCCTCTGGTTTATAGTTTTATTGGATTTGTTTAGTCTTTGTTTATTTCTGTCAAAAAAAAAAAAAGAAACCGGAAGAGAAAGTCAAAAAGTCAAAGACTAATGAGGCACAAAAAAGAAAAAAATCAGCAACAATTTTTAAGATGTTATTGGAAATTATTTGTTTGATGACACGTCAACAGATTTATGAGGCCAAAAGTTTCTTCATTTTTTTTTTGTTGCTATTTTTAGGTGCTATTTCACTTTTTTTGTTTATATATTTATTTTATCGTAAGTAATCATTACAAGACTACTTGACTTCTTCTTTTACCTATTCTGAAGATATACTACAAACTAAGACGAAAAAAAAAAATTGGTGCCCATAAACTTTCTAAGAGAAAACAGAATTTACTGTTTAAAAACTGCAATCAGCAACAATACAGAACTCATGAGACAAAAACAACAATTGGAAGAAAACCTGAAAAAAAGACTGAAAATTGTTGAGAAAAGAAATTAAGAGAAATATCTTTTTTTTAACCCAAGTTTTGTGCTGTTTTCCACCTTTTTTGCAAATCAGGGAGTAAGGTTGTTGTGAAGTTAACCTCTGTTGTTGTTTTCTTTCATTTAAAATTATTAAGTTCATTTAGGATAACACTGTTTTTCAGGTTGACTTTACAGTTTTTTCCTTTCTTTTTTTTTGCAGTTCCAAAACGTCGTATTGTGGATGAGCCAAGTGTTAATCGTACAAATTTTTCAACTCATCAATTAACTGAACTTGAAAAGGAATATTACACATCCAAGTATTTGAACCGAACACGACGAGCTGAAATTGCTGCAATTTTAGACCTCAATGAAACACAGGTATTTTATTTATTGTTTTTTATTTTCTTCTTCTTTTGACATTCGCTTTTTTTGGTCTAGTTGAGTGCTGAGTACTGAGAACTGTTGTTAAGTGTTTAGTTTGCTAATAATTCAGTTTTCTTTTCTTTGTTTTATATTTACAGGTAAAAATATGGTTTCAAAATCGTCGTATGAAGGAAAAGAAACGACAAAAAGAACAAGAATTTTTGGCTCGTGGAATGATGACATCATGCGATGTAACCGAATCCAACTGGTCAAATTCATCGTCGAATAGCTCAACCACCAATAATACAAAACTACATAACCTGTGAAAAAAAAAAAGCAATTAAAACAACAGCAACAACAAAAAAGAAAATATTTTTTTTTGCTATGTTTTGTTATTATTGCTATTATTATTATTATTATTATTATTATTATTTATTACTATTACTATTATTATTATTATTATTATTATTATTATTCCGTTTCTGCTAACCTTACTATAATTACATGCGTATTAAGTACATATTCAAAAAAAAAAAAAAAGTTGATGTCTTATACCTATGAAATTTCCCTTTGTGAATATGTTGATGTGTTTTTGTTTTCTTCTTCTGTGTGAACCCGTGTGGTTTTGTGTCTCTGAGAGTCTGTTTCTGTTTCTGTGTGTATCGGTGTGTATCTGTGTGTGTGTGTGTGTGTCTGTGTGTCTGTGTGTGTTGGTGTCTGCTGTGTTGTAAAATGTGGTTATCAAATATGCGGATGGGAATTTGTCAACTAAAAAAAAAAATGAAAGTCAATATAACAGTTTTTTGAGCTTTTCTTATTCAATCAGTTTCAGAAAGCTGACAATTATCAATATGGGTACTGTTAAATGAGTACAGTTTACTTACGTTGAAATTATAACATTTTATCTACCACTATGAACATTATCACCACCACAACCACCGCCACCATCGATATTCCTATCGCCGTTCTGTTGACACTTCGGGAGCGAAAAAAAATGATGAAAAGTTGAGGAACAGTGGACGAACAGGAAGCGTGGAGGAGGTTGGCGAGACGGGAGAAGAAGGTGGAGGAAAAAAGTTGCAGTCAATCAATGTGTGGTTGTAATTTTCACCATTTTTTATTTGCTGTCTTATGTATCTTAAAAATATATTACATTTGAATGGTAGTTTTTTTCTCTAATAAACGCTCTTCTGTTGACCCTTTTTTTTGCTCTTGTTCTTCGGAGGTATGTTCAATTTTTTATTTTTTCTTCTCAATACCCAGTACAGTTTTTTTTCTCTCATAATTTATATTATTAATAAATTATAGAAAAAAATAAAGGCAAATTAATTGTATCTTGTTGAACTTTTGCGAGTTTTTTTTTTCTTCTATTTTTGCTATTATTTTATCGATGAAATTAAAAAGGGGCTAAAAACTTGGGGTAGGAAGGATGACAATCTTTGGTGTTTTTTTTTTGCTGTTGTTTTGGCTTTTCCTTTTGTCTATTGATACCGAGATGGTCCAAGTATACGAATGTGTGTGTATGTGTCTGTCTGTCTGATTGGGATCAGAATGCAACCTACAATGTTGGTTTTGTACCTAAATTCTGTTGTTCTTTTTTCTCTAAAAAAAACTATTGAACGACGAGTATATTTGCTAATCAAATGGTTTCCAGTGGTTTTGTTTCCGTTCTTCTTTTTTCTAATTTTTCTTTTTTTCTATTTTTTTTTTAATGGGGAAAAGAAAAGAGGAGTAATGTGTCTCAAAAAGTGTTTGTCAACTGTGAAAGCTCAATTTTCTAATCTCTAATTTTTTTTTTTTTAAATTTAACTTTTGGTGATTCGACGGTATTGTATCACTATATTTTTGGCTATATTCTTCTTTTTGCTTCTGTTGTCATTGGTCGTCGTAAATTGCTTATTTTCGTCTCTTTTTCTTCATTTTCTCCTCCAACTTTTTTTTTGTTTATTTTAATCACTATTTTTGTAAATGATTTGTTTGTTTTTAATTAGAAACGATAAATGAAAAAAAATATTCGCTTGTATACATTTTTTACTTGTTTTTTCTTCTTATGTTTTTTTTTCTATTCAATGACACATAACTGTAGTAACTAAAAAAAATATAAAAAAAATTTTTTTTCTGGTTACTTCAGCTTCAGTTAGAAAAAAGGAAAAAAAAAAA